GTTTGACCTCTGTCATTGCCAACAAAGGATATACAACAAAGTATTGAGATGAACTTTTGTTATTGACCAAATACTTATTTTCCACCATTAATTGCAAAAAAATTCTTTAAAAGTCAGACAAAATGATTTTCTCAAATTTTTTTCACATTTTGTCTCTCATAGTTGAGGTCTACCTATGATGTCAATTACAGGCCTCTCTCATCTTTTTAAGTGGGAGAACCTGCACAATTGGTGACTGACTAAATACTTATTTTCCCCACTGTAGGTAGGTAGGTAGGTAGGTAGGTAGGTAGGTAGGTAGGTAGGTAGGTAGGTAGGTAGCTAGGTAGGTAGGTAGGTAGCTAGGTAGGTAGGTAGGTAGGTCGGTAGGTCGGTCGGTCGGTCGGTCGGTCGGTCGGTCTTTATTATCATTGTTGCACTGAAAAGAACACTGCGGTCCACAGACAATGAACAACGATATAATTTTGCAGCTCCCTTAGTGCAAATAATCAGAACATTAAAAAAGTTAAAATAAGAGGAAACAAATGAATAAAAAAGTAAGATAAAATAAGATAAAAATGTAAACAACCACCGTAGCGAATAAATCAGAACATTAAAAAGATCAAATAAGAGGCAGAAAAAGATTTAAAAAATAAGATAAAAAATGTAAAATAAATAAATAAATAAATAACAATAGTAGCAGCCATATCAAAATGTCCATATCAAAGTGTCAGGTGAACATTATTGCACATAACCGTAGTGTTACCAAGTTAACCATGCGTGTTTAGAAGTCCAACTGCTGTTGGATAGAAACTGTTCTTGAGTCTGTTTGTTCTGGTCCTGAACCTTCTACCTGATGGTAGCTGGATGAACAAACTGTTCCCGGGGTGTGATGAGTGTCTGTGTATGTGTCCTGCTCTCTGGAGGCAACGGGTCCTGTGTAATTCCTCCAGAGAGGGCAGAGGGCACCCAACAATGTCCTGAGCCATCTTTATGATTCTCTGGAGCGCTTTCTTCTGAGCCACTGTGCAGCTGAAGAACCACTCTCATAAACAGTAGCTCAGGACACTTTCAATGGAGCAGCGGTAGAAGGTCACCAGCAGTCTCTGGGTGATGTTGTTCCTCTTAAGGACCCTCAGGAAGTAGTGTCTCTGCTGTGACCATGCTGTGACCGTGGGACCAGTGTGAAGAGCTTTGAGTATCCTAGTTGGATAGAAAGGTGCTATAAAAGTACAGTTAATTTCACCATATTTTTTACTCCTCACCAAACACAACACTAATACATGACTGAGTGAAAAATACTATCTATCCTTCTATCAMAGTTTTTTTAAATGCTTTGCTGTGCTCTGTGCTACATGGGGAGGACAGAGGGAGAAATTTTTATATTTTATWCCTCGTGTCTTCAACCCAACTATAGTCGGCCAGAAAAAGACTTAACAAAATGATATAATCACTGATTTGCAGTCTCACGTTGTACTGAAGTATAAATCATGCTTACCATTGGCTGTTTGTGTGTATCAGGGATCCAGAACAGTGATGCCGCATGGTACCAGTGTCTGACGACCCCACTAAGTGATGAGCAGAAAAAACAGCTCCAAGAGATTTACAGTATCTCCCAGCAGAGGAGGAGCACCGCTGCCAAGGGTCATTGGTGAGAAAGCCAGTGTACCAACGCGGGGGGTGGGGGTCATTTCTCGGTGCTGGAACAAATATTCCACTTTGAACCTCAGTTTTGAAAATATTGCATATTTTGTATTTTTCTCATATTGAAAATCTAATTTTTTTCTTAACAAAAAGTTTTAAAAACTGAACAAATATTATAAAACATGTATGGTTGCAAAAATGTATGTTCAGGTCTGAAGTTGTTGAAAATATTTAGTGCAGTGAAACCTGCACTAAATCTTTTCAACAACTTCAGAATTAGATTTTCAATACGAGAAAAATACAAAATATGCAATATTTTCAAAACTGAGGTTCAAAGTGGAATATTGGGTATAAAGTTATTACAGCCTTGACTAGAACTATAATTGATAACATTGATTTGGATGCATTATTATTTTTTGGAGTAATGACCATCAAAAAACATATACACACTTCAGAAACTTTGTCTCTGACCTGTGTGGAGAGTTCCTGGTCTTCATGATGTCTCTTCCTTGGTGGTAGACCTTACTACTTAAAGATGCTGAACTGGTGTAACTGTTTGGGGCTTCAAAGGGCTGAATGAACACATCACTTTTCAGTGAAAAAAGGATTTTTATCAAGTTTTTCTTCCACTGAACTTCATTTAACTCTAGTTTTGTAGAATTATAGAGTTTAATTCAATTACAAACTCAAATAAATTCCAGGTTGTAAGACAACAAATGAAAAAATACCAAGGCACCATTACCTGTTACATATTTCCTCATGTGCAATCTACAGTCCATTCAGAGCTTTCTATAAAAGATATTCTTACAACACTTCACCTGCCTTGTGTACTTATGGTGGTCAGAGGGACGAGTAAGGGGTCTCTGCAGTAGGTTTTGTCCTGTGGGCGGAGACATCCCTACTTGTGATTGGCGGAGGTCTTAATGTGGGCGGAGATGGCCCGAGATGTGATTGGTCGGATTAACGGTGGGGTTTGAGGAGGATGGAGGCAGCCGGGAGTAGCTTGATCGAGTCGGGCAGGAAGCAACGTGTTTTTTAAGATTAATTTTGGTCATAACTTAAGAAAGGAAAATGCTATCTGCACGAAATTTGAACGTCGTACATGTGAAACTATGTGTAACAATATGGCTTCGTTAAAACACCCCTAAGCAGCCTGTAAAAAGATAGCTAAAAATCAATATCTTTTTACAGGCTGGTTAGGGGTGTTTTAACCAAGCCATATTGTTACGCATACTTTCACATGTACGACGTTCAAATTTTGTGCAGATAGCATTTTCTTTTCTCAAGTTATGACTAAAATTAATTTAAAAAAAACGTTACTTCCTGCCCGACTCGACCAAGCTACTCCCCGCCGCCTCCAGCCTCAAACCCCACCGTTAATCTGACCAATCACGTCTCGGGCCATCTCCGCCCACGTCAAGACCTCCGCCAATGACGATTTGGGCTGTCTCCACCCACAGGACAACACGTTCTGCAGGGACCCCTACTTGAGAGGGACCGGTGGTGCAGTATGGTACATTGGAGCTTAACTTCTTCTGTGTGTGAATGAATGATGTATGAAATTGTGGTGTCTTTGAGGGTCTTGAAAAGAGCTATAGAAGACCAATGCATTATTTTTTTTATTATTATTGTTGTTGTTGTTGTTGTTGTTGTTGTTGTTGTTGTTGTTGTTGTTGTTGGTTTTGTTAATATTAGTAGTAGTATTAGTATTATTAAAACAGTGTTCAGTCTAGACCTGACCTCTTCTTCTTTGTGCTTTCAGAACTCCCTGGACTCAGAGAGGCTGCAGAATTAAAGGAGGGTGTCAAAGAGAGGAAAGTGAAGACATCATAAACTGGTTTAACCTAATCTGGACTTAGTTTACCATCTAAACCCAGATTACACCGTGTCAGGCTTGACGGACGTTACCAGAACCAGATCCCAGAGGATCATCAGTACTGGATAGAGCTGATGAGGTTGGGTTGGTCTCAGAGGGTCGAGGGCCTGATGCAGGGGCTGTAAATTTTTTTTGTACCAAGAGTGTCTGTGTGTCTGTATGAGGACTTCAGTAGATAGTTTGCAATATAAATCTTAAATGTTTCAGATCAGCAGCAGTTTTTCAAATGTTCCGTACYGTGTAGTCTTTGGACTGTGATTAAGCATCTATGTGGTGTCAGAATCTCTAAAACATGTAAAGAACTAGAAGCTCTTTTTTTGTCTATCTGTAGCTGAAAAATGAGCTCCTGAAGCACGATCCCAAACAAGAAGACAAGTTTGTTTTTGTTACTCTGCAGACTGCAGGAGGTCAGAGGTCAAATACCAACAGCTGTGATTGTCACATTTTAGAAATGTCAAATATTCAGGAAATGTTGAAGGAAGCCATTTTTTCGTGAGTTCCTTCTTGATTTTGATTTTGTAACCTTTTTCAGAACTAATTTAGCAAAGTGATAAAAGATTTGTGAAATAGTTTGCTAAACTGGTCTTGTGACTTTTTCTTTTTTYTTTTTTTTTATGAGACCTGAGCACCGTAGGCAATGTGAAGGCCTCTTGAAATCATAGTGGTTTTCATGCTGAAAAATTTGTATTTTTTGGGAATGTGTACGATAATCAAAAACTCGAAACATTTTGCGAACATTGTAAAAGTAAGTGAAAATTTTCATCCAAAGAGATGAAATGGCAAATTGGCTCAACAGTGCCACATATTTCAGCATCACAATGATCAACTTTCACTCGAAGCTGTGAGATTTGGTACACGTAGAATTCAAGGCAGACAAAATGTTCCTTAAAGGTATGAACTAAAGCTGACAGGAAGTCGGACATTTTGGATCAAAGATACATTTTTTGGGTTATTACACATTGCATTTTAACAGAAAGATTTTGGGCTATCTTCAAACATGATTAGTAGCAAAAGTTAGAGTTTTCACCACAGGATATGAGTGATTAGACCTTTAATTTTGACTTGCTAAAAACAACCCTGTTGTAACTCACATTAAACGTCTGGGCCTCGTTTCAAAAAGCAGGCTTAACAACCCCTGCAGGCAGATACTCTGAATCAACCTGCCCCGCTCTGTGATACTCAGGATTTTCGGTTTCAGAAAAGGTGATATCAACTGGGTAACTTAATCCTGAGTCAAGTTACCACTGAGTTCAGTTGGAGCACGAAGCCCTCATCAATGGAAGTCAGATAACGTGATTCACCATGGCAACACGAGAAAATAAGAAGACCAGAAGTCCTTTTCTTGCGCTGAAACTAAAAATATTAATGACGGCATATGGAAAATATCAACATATATTAAACAAATAAAAAATTTAAAAAAACAATAATGTTGCTGCTGCAAGAGAAAAAGAGTTAGTGAGGCAGAGAATTGCTCATCAAGTCAACGATTATGATTTTACATGAATCTAAACTTTTATTTTTGTATTTATTTTTACTTTTCTTCTTTATTCAAGGGGATAAAAGTTAGTGTGTGTGCATTATATGTGTGTGTGTGAACCCAGCCGGTACTAAATGGATATGATGGCAAATAAAGATTAAATATGAAAACATGGTAAGGTCAGGTATATAAGTTCTTATGTTCAACCTTTAACAAATAAATTACGTAATTCACTGCTTCAACACACAAAATGATTGTGTCCCCGTCGAAAAATAATGTGTACTATTAAATAATGTGTTTACAAGTTATCAGCCAATATCCTTGTTACCACAGTTTAAAAAATTTTGGAAAATTATTTGTGACTAGATTTATTTATTGATAAACAAAATATTTTTAGTAAAAATCAATATGGTTTTAGAACTAAAAATTCTTCATCAATGGCGCTCATTGAATTGATTGAACAAATATATAATAATAAGATCAGGCCCAATATTTATCAAGGTTCTTTGAGTGGAATTTTAGACTTAAGTGCTGAAAATTTACTGCTCCTCTCAGACTTAAGTTTAAAAGCAATTTATCAAAATTCTTAAGTCTAAGAATCACTCTTACTCTCCCAAAACGTTAAGACTGCTCCAGGGGACTCTTAGTGGTTAAGATTTGCCACTAGGGGGTCTGAGACGKACCGAGAAGACAAAGATCACAGCTGTCCTCAAGAATACTCTGCACCACCTCAGAAACTGCACTGAGTGGTCCGGGGGTCTCTCACCTGAGTGTGATTTTCAGTTACGTTGTACAGAGGAGCTAAAATAAGGTGTGGAAAACCAGTTTAGTCATCAATACAAAGAAAGAAGGGGAGAAATAAAAACCGATTACCAGTGCCATAATGTTGGTCTAAAAGGTGGATATTTCTGTGCGGCTTTTGGAGAAAATAATAAACTATTTGCTGGTGAGTGAAAGCAGACAACATGATGCTGTCAAAAGTCTTGATTTTTATTTTATTCTTCCCACCCAATGATGAAGGTGGGATTGAACTTTTTTTATTATTATTATTTCTTTCTTTAACTCAAACTTAACGAAATCTATTAATTTCGTTAAAAAAAGAAAAAGAAATCTGTAGCATGTGAGTGTGGGAGTGTCAGAGAAGAGCAGGATTGAATCGAGGCCACTGACATATGCTTTATTTGTATTAAATTAGGATATTTATAAGGAATAACAGCATTTGAAGCTGTGCAGTTTGCACCTGACTTAAACGTACTAAATGTAGATAAACGTGGCGTAACCAGTTTCAGTGTTTGATGAAACACAATGCATGTGTAAAATGATTACATATGCATATCCTCCGCCCAGTATTTTGCATGATCTGCTAATCATAATAGAATTTGCATATTCATAAAGGCAGGCTCGGTGAATAGGTTGTGGCTGCTGTTTTGCTTATCTGACACAGTCCTCACTGCGCACTGCTAATAAATCAGCTTTGTGTGCGCTATCAGGTTTGCTCATGGATCTGTACGTAGTAAAGTGTTGATAAATTGAGGCCCAAGTATCTGATTTTGGGGTTGCCCCAAAGACTCTTTACGACAAATTCCTCTACCAATGTTGGAAGCATTGGTGAAAAGTAAAAATTCTGGAGGAGTTTCATGTGAACATCTGTAAAGTCTGTAAACTCCAGGTGCTCTTAGATAACCAGCTTGGAGTTCTGCAGACCCAGCACATCACTGCCAGCTGGACCTGAAAAAAACAAAAGTAAAACAAAAATAGTTTATGGTTTGTTTTAATGAAGGTTTACAGGCGTCACTGTGGCAGTTGGTGTTTTTCCTCCCTCTCTGCTTCCTGATTGGTTTCTGAGCACTAATTACCTGCAGCTGCAGCAACGTTCCTGATGAGCTCCTGGGCCTTTATATGGTCTCCTCAGTGATCTGAGGTCTCATTTATAAAAGATTGCATTGAATTCATACTAAAAGTGAACGTACACCAAAAATGGCATTCACACACACACACACAAAAAAAATCGGATTTAAACTTCAAGCAATTTCCCTTTAAAGATCACAGCTGCACCTCAGAGTTTGCGCACAAGGTCCCGCCTCAGGTTCTGCCCAAACAGTCAATGCAAAGTACCTCATGAATGTTAAGGTGTATTTAAATGAGGCAGCTGATCACTGTCAACAAAACCGATTGACCGGCTCAGGCACACACTCTGTCGGGCCTTTGGAGGATTGTCACACAGATTTTCCCTCATTTTGCAGGCTTACAGACATTTAGAGTTATCTCGTGGATCTTTTCAAAACTCAGCTTCAAATTTATTTTTCCTCGGGGCCTAGGATGCTAAAATAAATAAATAAAATTGAATAATCCAACCATTGTCCTGTTTTTCTGCAAGAAATAAGTTCACGCTGACCATTTCTCTTGTTGGGGAGGGGTCTGCGAGGGTCATCTGAGGTGGAGGGTGGCCAAGAGGGAGACGGATGGAGGTGTGTGAACTTCTATTCAAGATTTAAGTTGTTTAAAGGCACAGTGTGTAGGATTTTGTCAATTCTTTTAGCCGAAATTGAGATAATCACTAATGACAATAATAAAAAACATGTCTAATCATTGCAGACAAAGACCTTGTTTTATTATTTTTACCCTATAAAAAGCTGTTTATACCTCTATGGTTGCGGGTTGACTTGCCAGTACAGGCAGCCGCCATCTTGTCTACGAA